TTTGCAAACTGGAATCATTTTTTTCTTAATAGGAAAATCGTTTCCAAACTGATATCACTTTTCAAAATTGATAGAATATGCCATTTCCAAACTGAGATCAGCTTTATTTCTTTAATTATAAAAAGTGATCTCAATTAAGAAGCCTCGATTATTTTATTTTATCCTTGTGTTTAAAAAAATGGCTATCTCTTTTAATTTTCGTAATTTCTCATTAATTAATTCATGTCAAGTCCGAATGATGTGCAATTCACATGAGAAATGGAACAAAGAATTCTCTACAAAATGAATGAATTTTTAATTTGTTTCCTTAAATTCTTCGTTGAAACGAAGTTGTTTAAGTTCATTCCAACCATTTTGGCTGTGCTGATCATAACTACCCTAACGGTATACGTTGACTAATCATATTTACCCCAAATGGGGTAATTATGATCAGTCGATATCTGCTCGCTGGAGATTGATTAATACTAATTAACACAGGTGGACTTTAAAATAATTTTTACATCGATCGATGGGTAAGACTCACCTCAACCTACCTGTGAAATACCCCTTTTTTCCGGTGAAAAATAGCTGCAAAGCTTCAAGGATACTGAGAAAACTTTTTACTCTGATCGTAATTACCCAGGCTACTCTATATCTTATAGAGAAAAACAGACAGTATATATACAATTAATAATTGTATTTTTCTCTTCGGTTCTTTACTTTTCTATTCTTTTTCTTATGTATTGCGCTGATATATTTGAACGTTGCAACAATCATTATTTTAATATCAAAATTTTAACACAATGATTGTTGAACTCGTATAATTAATCTTTTTATAATTTTCTCAATTCTAAAACTATTCATAGAAGTCATGGAGATAAAAGTGTTTAAAATTAAAATCCATCCGCAATGTTTTTCTGTTACGATACTTTTAAATGATGCTAATATAACAACGTAAAGAGATGTGCCACCCTCCCTGACTCGAAAATCAGGTACGAATACAAAGTTGTCGATTACGGGTCATATTTTTGAAATTTTACCCTAAGAAAACTGATGCTACTAATTCTGTAAGAAGACATAAATCAGATAAGGAAATCTATAACTGCTATGAAGATCATTGTTTGATAAAAAACATTTATTCGCTAAGCAAGCTTTCGATTACACATTTTGATTTATATTAAGCAAATTATACACTCTAAAAAATAAAGTATACCCGTAGATGTGTAAAAGTTCTAAGTGCGTAAATGCAGATCAAACTGGTGTGTTTTTTTTCTAGGCGTGTAAAAGTCTTTCTATGTTCGCAGATCTGTAAATTTTGCCAGTGTATTTTTGGCACATCACACCGTACATTTCTAGATGTGCAAATACGAATCAAAGTGATGTGCAAGTTCACTGTGTTTTGGGCACACTTTATTTTTTACAGTGTAGATGTATTGGACGCACATATTCATTGTTCGGTGAAGTATTTGTGTTAGATATTCAGACGGTGCCGGCCGAAAAAATTGACAATAGCATAAATATTCAATATCACATTTACATTTCTACTCTGAGCAGATAAACAAATATTTCTCAAAGCAATGGAATTTCCATTGTTCTCGACGTATAATTAAACTTACTCCAAAAAATTAGTCACCAGCATATATTATATGTGTTATTTTTTGCTCTTTTGTGTTTGTGAGTACGATTTGGACACATGTCTCTAAAGACGTACAAAAGCGAATATTTCATTTAATAGATTCAACAGAAAGATTGACTTAAGTCTGTGAGTATCTAATACAGACATCATATATCTGAATTGAATAATTTTAAAAGTCTCAACTGAATATTTTATTTGTTCTTTTTAAAATTAATTTCACTATATAAAAGTAGAAAAAAGGCGATACATTTCAGGTTAGACCACGGTTTCCAATTAATTTAATTGTATTTCCAGTAAATAATCCATATTTACTTAATAAAATAGTGGGATCATTGTGGACTCGTTGACCACGATAATAGATTCGTTGTTCATCAATTGGAACACGAAAATTATGTTGTAATGATTTCGATAAATCATCTGATGTTGGTTCTTTCTCAGTTTTCAAGACCACTTCTTGAGTATCACCTCCAAAATGTACTTGTAACTTTGTATAATGAAATAATTTGTCATTCATTTATTCGTTTAATAAGTTTTCTAAAATAAAAATATATGTTTAAAATTCAGATTAAGTAGATTCTTTACTCTTAGTCAAATATGATACAGCTGCTATTTGATCTCTGTGAACAGATGGAAATAGTAATTGTATAACAGTAGAAGACCTGGAGAACAAGTTTGAATCTGTTGACATTGAAGACAAATACTTATTCTAATGATTTGAAATCTTTTACTACATTATTTGAAAAACAACACTCTTCAATTATAAAGCTCAAAATCTAACGATCTTAACATTGACAAAGTTGTCGAAGTTACATGAAAAATAAATTGTATTTTATAGTAGACATTGAGTATTTCCCCAATTGTTACGATATTGTTTTCAAACTTTCAGTTATATTCGATGAATGATGATTTTTTAAATTAGTTTTATGGGAAAACTTTTGCAAATGTTTTTACTTACCGATTACAATATTATGCAAAAGAAACCTACGTATTGTGTCGATTTATCTTGTACTACGACTACTATAACTTATTTGTATAAGAAAAGAAGAATTGCTTTTTTGTCGTTCTGTATTTTTGTGCAAATCAGTTTTTATTCATTGTTGTAACAACAGTTTACTTACACAATTTTTTGAGGTTTTTTTTTTTTTCGAATTTAAAGAGGAAAAAAGAAAAAAAAGGACTCTACAGTAGAATTTTTGAATAGAATAAGAACATAATGAATTTTATTATTGTATGAAATAAATAACCTTGTATATGAAACAATTTAAATCTTTAATAATACGCGATTAATATTTAAAGTAACACGTGTATTATAGAAGAATGTCACAGGACAACTTTTAGATTAGTGGATACAACTTAGCCGTCTCAATTAACTAAAAAGATATTTTCTTTAACATATTTATGTTTAAGAACGAAAATGATTCGTGTTGTCTATGAGAAAATATGAGTTGTTTTCTATTATGAAAATATTCACAAATAAATATCTTTTTACTGCAGTGAATTTTCACTTATTTACGCTATTTATTTATCTCGGCTCATGTTACAATTTTTCTTTGTGATGCTAGTTTAGGAGAAGAATTATTTAACATTCTTAAACTAGTTTCACTTTTTCTTTCTGCTCTTATCTTTATCATAAGCTGATTGTCTATTTTTTGTATTAAAAAAAGTCGTCTGAACCCATTCTTTCACCAGTATAGCTAACTTGACTGTTTAAATTCAGGTAATATGATACGTAAACCAAAAAATCGTACATATAGTTAACTAAACCACGATAATGACACATATGGCAAAAAAACATATTTGAAACAATTTTATTTTTTTCACAGAACAGTCGATTTATTTTTGCAGTTTACTGTTAAGCTAAGTTCATATGTTCAAATTTCTATTCGCACAAAAAATGTTTTTGTATTTTTCGATAGTTTTAGTTTAGAATACTATAATGAAATATTTTTCGACTTGTATTCTGACAGAATAAAGCTTATATCAACAATTTTATTTGTCATCTTATTTAAAGCTTGTTGCTTTGGTAATATAATAATAATATATAATAAAACAAATTTAAATTCAATCGGTTTTGTCAATAACATCGTCATCAACGTTTTCAAAAAAACTCGATTGATAGCAAATCTTTCCAACCTTTTTTTCTAAAAGCCGAATTTAACTATGAATTTGACCAACGTGTACGTCTAAACTGGGCATACATCAGTTATGACAGTTATGCATCAGTTTATGATCGGTTAACCGGTACATTTTGCTTAGTCCAAACTAAAAATGAGTAAAAATTTATAACATTTTTATATAGTGAGTTATATCGATAAAATTTGTTATCTTACACAACGAGATTCTATTGTTAGAGTAATTAGAATACACTTGAACTACTCTACTTTACAAAGAAATTCTCAACGTGAGTTTCTTCTGTCATATTCTGACAATAAAACATTCCATCTTAAAATATTATAACGTTAAAATTGCAACTATCCATGTTTTTCTGTTTCTCATGTCTT